TTTATTCTTGTTATATCCAAATAATTTAAAAGAATATAATAAAATTCAGCAAGTCATAAGAAAGAGTCAATTTCAGATACAAACACCCATAAGGTTATTTTAGAGTTTGATTACTACTATACCTCTTAATTATAAATGTATAAAGTCTACTTAACTATTTTACAGTTTGAAAGTTCAGATTTTTTTGATTTTTTTAAAGACAGAAGAGGAGTTACATTTAATGCTAACTGAATTGATCAGGAAATAGTAGCTGCAATATACATGTGATAACACTAGGGTGGGTGTGAGGAAAGCGTGTGAAGGAACAAGAGAACAGCAAGATGAGAGAGAGAACAAGAGAGCTGAATAAAGAAAGCACCTTAAGTCTACTCATTTTTCATTACTGCAGCCAAAATACAACACTGGGTCTTTCTGCACAGAGTGAATAATAGAAATCAGAGATGGAAAAGATTTGTTAGGTCAGCTAGTGTGTCCCCTTGATGGTACAAGATATATTGCTTTCTCCATTCTTGTTTTAAATATTTTAAGTGGTAGCGTTTCCACCATTACTTTTGGGAGCCATAGCTACTACCTATCATCTGGTCAACATGCCTCCCTTAATAAGACTCTAATGCAGGGTCTGTTACATGCTTCTTAGCACCGTGCTTTCATGCAGACATAAGCAAGAAGCAAATCTTTATTTAAAGAGCTACTGGCTTCTGGGTCCGTGTCAATTTCTCAGCCCTTTCCCATGGTTCTTTTAGCACACACTCAGTTTACTCATTAGTACGTTGTCATTGTGGACCAGCTGCACATATGGACACAAGGACTGGCTTGTCCTTAATGTTTGTTAGTAGTAGAGAACAGACAAAAGATTCTTTGCTCTGCAGCTGACACGAGGAGAGTTGAGGTTACTGAATCACACATGTAGGATGTCACTCCCATGCTGTCTTGCTGGAGCTCTGGTGTTTCTGCACTGGCATAGATTGCGGATTCAGCTAACGACATTAATCATAAAGAAAGACCACAGGCTCAGTTCTGTGGCTAAGGCTCGGCCAGGTTTATTGTCAATAAGGCACAGTCTCAGTACCCCATCCAGCCAGTCACATGTACACTAACCCATGTATGTTGGTAACAATGTATCAGCTCAATCAACGCAGTATTGACTCCTAGGCCAATATAAAGCTGCCCCTCCTACCACTCTCCTTTTCTACATTGATACAAACAAGTTATGTATTACATTTCAGATGTTATCAGTTGCCATCCTTGTACCTTGTATCTGATAGTCAAACAAAACAGCCTCATCCATTATCCTATCATTCCATCTTTATCTTGCAAGGGGCTGTGTGTTCCTGTACCATTCTCTTAGGAATATGTTTAGGTTTGTTAGCTGGTACCTAGTGCTTACTATTCTAACAAGGCCTACTTTGGTTCACAGCCTTACTGCGGTTCATACTTTTAGCCATGCGTAGGGCTCCATCCAGGCCTACAAGATGTGGGCTCTATTATCACTTAAGCCTGAAGAACTCCAGTGTTTTGTTGGAAATATTCCTTGGAAAATCAAGCTGGGACATCGTTACCTCACCACCTCATACTGGGTGCTTCAACTTTCTGAGCAAAACCCCCGTCATTTTAACATACAAAGTGCATCATTATTTGTCTCATTAATTACTTTTTATTCATATAATTAAAGAGTACATATGTGTATTAGTAGCACAGATTGTCATTATCTCCTTACCAAAAAGAGCTAAATGTATATACAGCCTTAAAATGCTCTTCCATTGTAGCCTGCATACCGTATTAAATGTATTTTATATAAATTACTGCATTTTACATAAGTTTATGCATTTTAAAATACATAAAAACTGTACCAAATGGTATGCTGTGTTATCCTTTGCCAGTGTCCTTGTACTTTCCCGATGTTTCTGATAGTCTCAGTGAAATGATGGGGTATGTGTAATTTATTTACTACTCAAAAAACAAAGTTATATTACAGAATATAGGCAATGGAGATAATATAGTAGCTGTATTTGGATAGACAGAAGAAAACTTGCAGTTTATTTTATTGAAGTTTTGCATTTTATGTTTTAGACGCTTGGTTACTTTCACAACAAAATCCAACACCTCCTTTTACTCCCTTTTTTCATTTCAGTTTTTAACGGTTGTGTTACAGATCAGCTCCTTAGAGCAGGAACAGTGGAGACTAGGAATTTCAAGGATCCTTCCCAGATATTAATTTATTTAACAATGGGAGGCTTAATGTGATCCCTTTTCTTCATTCACTTATTTCCCTTCAACCTCCCTCCTAGTTCCTTTGATCTCACTCCACCTTTGGACACTATTCAACAGAAAAGGTAGGCCACCTTCCAACTACACACTCACTGCAGAAGCTGTGAAAGGGATGATGATCTCAGCTCTCTGGGCAACCAACCTATTCAGCAGAAACATCAGTCTACCCAAATAATCTGTTTTCATCATTCTTCGGGTCCCATGGGAATGAGCTAGCCTCTGTAGATCACTTTGTCTCTGTAGCCATGGTTGTAATAATAGGACAATGTTAATTTCACTGACCCTGATAACTGAGCGTGAAATCCTCTTCCTTACCCACAAGTAAGTACACCCCACTCCCCCCACCCCAAAAAAAGATATAGTCTCTTGCCATTGGGGGGGGGAGGGGGAGAATTCCTGACCACCATCATCTCTCTTAAAATCAGGTTGTGGGTTTCAGGATTCATTTTTATTGCCTGTAAGTTTTCTCATTTATGGTTCTTCCCAAATGCGTGATACGGACCGTGGTCAAAAAGGCTGGTTATGTATACAATACTGGCAATGATCCCTGAAAGAAAGAGTTAGCACACTGGGAAATGATCCTCTTGGGCAGAAAACAAAAATGTATTTACATTTTCATACTAGATACATATAGTAGAGCAGCTACATTGTGTACAATGTTTTCTGACAGCTCCCAAATTTAAAGAGCCATCTACATTGTGGCTGTACCAGTACAGATACATCTTTAATCGATAAGGCTTCATAAAGCAAGCTGGAATAATGGAAGAAATGTGGTTGGCTGTCAGCCATGTGGTTATCATATCTTAGTCACATAGGACCTATTAGTTTAGTCCTAGAAGAGCTATTAATACAACTACAAAAGATCTGCCTTTAGCAACGAAAGGCCCAATCATACAATCCTCAGCTCTGACTGAAATCAATGGGAATTGAGGACCATTAGCACCATGCAGTCGGAGCGCAGTACCTCAGAAGACAGGATCACTTAAAGCCTCTCCACATCTTTTATATTTAGATAAAATAAAACCTGGGATTATCAGCTAAGTGGAAAATATTCTTAAATGAAATTTACAAATGTCAATAATATGAACTATTTTTTTGGCAGGCCAGTAATGTTTTGATTTCATATGATCTAGAACATTTTCGATGAAAGCAATGGCGCTTCAGGTCATGGATGGATTATTATTTCAAGGAGAGGAGTTGTCACATCCTAATCCGCTCATGCGGTATTGCTTACATGCTGGGCATCTTTAAACCAGGAGTCAGCAAGAGACATTTACATTTGTAATAACTGGGCATGTTGCTACTTATCCAGGATGAGAAATGTTAGGCTCAGTCAGAGCAGCGAGGCTGTGATAACCTTGCCTGGGGAAGGATATTGACCTGTTTCATTTGTTCAGCTTACTTTACAAAGCCTTATAAATTGCATAGCATGCAGCAAAAAGTCTCATGATAAAGTAGAAAATTTAATATGTGAATCCAAGATGAAAATGTAAAGTGACATTTGTAGTGATGAGTCAGAGAAGGACTCTGCTATAATACAACTGTCTCAAAAGCATGTAGAGAGACAGCCCTCCACCATAAGGCTCTGTTCATGTGACTGAACGCACAGTCCCTCTCTGTCATCTTGGAAGAGTAACTATGCATGGAACGACTGACCTATTTGTGATGATGAATAAGGATTATAGCCTGCATTCACCCAAAAATGAGTTTAAAAGACTGCTAAATATGGTTTGGTTCTGTATCCAATAGAGCTCCCAGAGCCTTTTGTCAGTTGGATAGTGTGGGGTGATCTAAGTGAAAATTCTTAGCTAGCACTGTACTTTTATTGCTAACATTAGCACTAATCTGAGGCAGCTACAACTCCATTGACTTCAGTGGACATGGTCATACCAGAGGAGACTATGGCTTTCACATGGTGGGAGGATCACCCAAAATACACCTTGCAGTTTTCAGAAATCTAATTTAGGAGATGAAGAACTTTATGAAATGAAATACTCTCGTTATGTATGGAACAGCTCCAGCACTGGCAACACCAATACAGGCTTCCCTGCACTGACCCATAAGTATGCTTCAATCTAGGTTAAGCAGGACCTCCTCTAATGGTATGTCTGCACTTACCAGGGATCGACGCTGCGGCGATCGATCCACCGGAGGTTGATTTAATGGGTCTAGTGAAGACCCGCTAAATCGACTGCAGATCACTCTCCCGTCGACTCCAGTACTCCACCGGAACAAGAAGCATAAGGTAAGTCGATGTGAGAGTTTCTCCCGTCGACCCAGCGTGGTGTAGACACAGCAATAAGTCGACCTAAGCTATGTTGACTCCAGCTACATTATTCACGTTGCTGGAGTTGTATAATTTAGGCCATCTTAACCTTGTAGTGTAAACCAGGCCTAAGGGTGAGAGAGTAGTTCAGTTTCCATACTCATTAAAATCCTTGGCACACTACTGAGACTGCCAGTAGAGGTGTGAGTTAGTGCCAGTTAGAGCGTTTGTATTTGTGAAACAGATACTTATGAGCTACAAATTGAACTAAGACCAGCTGAGTTCAGATATGCCAGGAAACAACTATCAGCCACTTTCAGTCACTATTGACCTGAAGCTGTTGGGAACCCATTATCTAGAAGCGAAAGGCCCTTTATTTCATTGCCATCCAGTCACCCACAGTGATTTTTTTTTTAATCCATGCTTTCTCTCTGAAATCAACAGGAAGATGTCAAACAATTTTTAACTTTCCCTCTCATCTAGTATCAATATGAATTAAAACAATGACCTTTGTTTTATTATAAAGAACAAAGAGATGCTGCCCATCAATCACAAGGAACCAAGATGACCAAAAAATGTTTTTGAAGGTTGATGTCAATTTATACAATTCATCAACAAATATGTGCAGTTGACTTTACTCTTAAGTATCATTACTGAAATGTTAGGTTTAGAGGAAAGAATAGTTTCCATGTTTGACATTGGTTTTTCTCCTCTCTTGTTTCTATGAGGTGTCCAATCTAATTCAATTTCTTAGGTAAAATTCACATAGCTGTCTTAGATATCAGAATTAATCCTAATCCATTGCACACTCCTCTGAATAATTAAAGGTTTTAAAATGTCTTTAAAAATGGTAAAATGGACATGTCATGCAGTTAACCAAGTCATTGCAATCCCTGGTTAATATGCAAATTCTAAAAGTTCAGAAAACTTATTACTAGTTCCACAAGTGCGCCCTATTTTTGGAGATGAATAATCTGTCTTTTTGTTGTTGTTTCTGATAAGTGAAAATGTCTCATTGTACATGAGATTCACTCCAACAGCCTTCATAAACTCAAGTCAACAATTATATGTTCAAATATCTGTGTGTTTCCTTTAAAACTGGAAGCAAAGAAAAAATCTCTTCGATCCGTTGACACAGCTGTGAAAGAGCGAGGTGCCTGCACATAGATTTCTTTAAATATTCTAAAGAGGTTCTTCTCGTTATCCCACTGGTATATCTGGGAGAAGGTGTAGTCACTTCCTAGAGCTAGGTAGTGATTATTCTTAAAGGAGAAAGGCTGCAGTGTCATTGCCCCTCGAGACGGGAGAGCCTGTATCTCCACAAACTGCTTGCTATTCCACTTCATGACTCTGGAGTCACCAATAAACCTTGTGAGCGTAATGTACAGGCTGTTTTGCATCCTGAAGCTCTTCACAGCCAATACATCCTCCATGTTGGGGATTTCACTGTGTGGGACAAACTTTTTTGAATTTTTGTTCCACTGAAGTATAATGGGAACTTGTGAGCGGCTTGACAGGATTAAATGAGATTTTCCATCTATATCAACAAACTCAGCATCTGTGTCCCTGAACCACTCATGCAGGGACTGGTAAGAGTAGAATCCTTTGTTATTCCATTTATAAACGGTTGACAGACCAGCTTTAGAGCTATCTGCTATGACAAAAAACTTTTCGCTGTCTATCTGAAACAGCTCTATATCATTTGGCTTGGAAATTCGAGACACTTCTATGTCCTGGAATTTGACAAACTTTGTCCAGCTTTCATCATACTTGTAGATGTGTGAGCCACCGAAGAGCTGTGCCACCACCACAAAGACCTGGTCATCGATCAGGATTGCTTTGCATCCCACAATGGACTGACCTGTTGCTCAAACAAAAAGCAAAAAATACTAGTACAGTACAATTCAACCACTCAAACAAAGAGAGAGATTTACTAAGTTCCCTCTTCCTTTATCCCTCATTTTGTTGTCTTCATTGCTGCCAGTTTCTTTTCATATTCTACATGGCAGCATGACACAGTGCTTTCAATCATACTGCATGAGGCATATCACATTTTTTGATCCAACAACAAGTGAGGAAAGACCACTTCAGATGTTAAGGAACAGCAGGGTTTTCAAGCAGTGAAACCCTTGGCTTCAGGAGCTAAGATATTGGTTGCTGGCTATGTATATTGGAGGGGGAAAGCTAGTAGAAGGAATTGTGATAGTGACCCTGAGAGGAAGCATAAAGATAGTTTCTTGGGCACAGAATTCGCTGAAGTGGCAGACTTGGGGATTTCTGAGCAAGGAAACTGCCTGCTGTTTGTTTCCTCTGTCTCCTCTGTGTACATTTTTTGTGAATAAACAAAAGTACACCAAGAACACACCTGACGCATATCGCTGATTTCTCATCCAAATGGAATCACCCTGGCAAGGCCCTGAATTCTGACTAGCCGTTCAGGCCAAATGGGGCAACCCTAAATTCTTAAATCAGCTTTCCATTCTTCTTGGGTTACTATTCACCTGTAATGCGCCAAATCTGCATTCCTGAAACAGCGCTGTTGTTTCAAGGCCTGTCACTTCAGCACAATGAAGCCAGTTGGTCCAATGACATGAAGTCTTTGAAATGTGCACATTTGGAGTGTGAGCATGTGTATTCTGAAGCCCTATTTTAACATTGTGAAATTGAGGTAGGTAGGTAGGAACACTGCTTTGTGATAGGTTAACACGTGCCCTTTGTACCTTGTCTCCTTATGCTGCTACTCCTAATCTATTTTTTTCTTGTGAAATCCCTTATTCCCCCAAAACTGTAAAGTCAGCAAAACATAATCACTTATATTCGACCTCAATATATTTCTGTACATATTGTATAAAGCTATAAGATAACTTTGAAGAGAATTCCCCCACATCCTCTCTAAAAGGAAATATTTTACTTCTGCAACAGCAACATATACTCCAGGGGGAATTCTGCACCAAAAATTTGAAAAAATTATGTGCCAAAAAATTAAAAATTCTGTGCATAATATTTTAATATTCTGCAAAATTCTGCATATTTTATTTGTCAAAATAACACAATAGAATCATACCAGTTTCAATTATTTTAGTAATTTATTTCAAATACCTGTCAGCAAGTATGTCTGTAACAATACAGAAAACAAAAAAGATTCAGGAAATGTTTTTTGACAAATAGATTCCTTACTAGGCATATTAATACAGAAATCTGAGTAATAATTCATTTAAACTACAATACAGAACCATATTTCTCACACCCCTCAGAAGCAGTGCAGGGGGAATCAGGGGTAACAGAGGAGCTGAGGGAGAGGGAAGTAATTGCTGGAAGGAGCCTGGGTGTGAACTTGGAGGGTTGTTGGGTTTGGGTGGGAAAAATATGGAACAGGTTTTGGGAGGTGGGGAGGGATTCTTAGTGAGCTTCCAGCATGCAGACCCTGGCTGACCCCTAGTCTCTCCCACTCAGTCAGGCACATCTGCCCCGTCCTCATGTGTCTCTGTGCCCCCACTCAGGCACCTTGCTGTCCCTATGTGGCCCTGCACTCCCTTCCCCTGTCCCCTGCGCCTCCACTCCCATTCAGCCCCTGCCCCAGTCTGTCCTCCCCCACTAGCTCTAATGAGCCCCTGTCTGACCCCCCCAGCAGCCCCATGCTGTCTGTCTCCCCATATCACCTATCTCCTGACCTGGCACAACAGGTCCTGTGAAGAAGGCACTACAGCAGGGGTGAGCAAACTACGGCCCGTGGGCCGTGTCCAGCCCATCAGACCTTTTAATCTAGCCCTCGAGCTCCTGTCAGGGAGCAGGGTAGAGGGCTTGCCCCGCTCCAGCACTCCAGCTGGCTCCCAGAAGCAGCAGCATGTCCCCACTCCAGGTCCTACACATAGGGGCAGCCAGGGGGTTCCGCATGCTGCCCCTGCCCCAAGCTCCGGCTCTGCAGTTTCCATTGGCCAGGAACTGCAGCCAATGGGAGCTGCAGGGGCGGCACCTGTGGACGGGGCAGCGCGCAGAGCCGCCTGGTCAGTGCCACACCTCCATGTAGGAGCCAGAGGGGGGACATGCCACTGCTTCTAGGAGCTGCTTGAGGTTAAGTGCTGCCTGGAGCCTGCACCCCGACCTCCTCCGGTGCCTCAACCCCCTGCCCCAGCCCTGATCCCCCTCCCACCATCTGAACCCCTCGGTCCCAGCCCAGAGCACCTGCTTGAAACCCAAACCCCTCATCCCCAACCCCACCCCAGAGCCTGCACCCCCAGCCAGAGCCCTGACCCCACCACACACACTCCAGCCCCAGCCCGGAGCCCAACCTCTCAGCCCCAGCCCGGAGCCCCCTCCCACACTCTGAACCCCTCATTTCTGGCCCCACCCTGGAACCTGCACCCCCAGCCCAGAGCCTGTACCCCCTCCCACACCACAACCCCATGCCTTAGTCCGGAGCCCCCTCCCATACTCTGAACCCCTCTGCTCCACCCCCAGCCCACAGCCCCCTCCTGCACCCCAAACCCTTCATCCCTGGCCCCACCCCAGAGCTCGCACCTCCAGCCGGAGCCCACACCTCCTCCCGAATCCCAATCCCCAGCCCTGAGCTCCCCCCACCCACACCCCGAACTCCTCGTTTCTGGCCCCACACCAGAGCCCGCACCCCCAGCCGGAGCCCTCACCCCCACCCCCAATTTCGTGAGCATTCATGACCTACCATACAATTTCCATAGCCAGATGTGGCCCTCAGGCCAAAAAAGTTTGCCCACCCCTGCACTATAGGCTCTCTCTCTTCCCTAGCTGGTCAGGAGTGGCTGCTCAGTTCTAGCACCACAGCGCCCTCTGCAGCAACTTTCTGGCAGAAGCTATTTTCTGCAAAAAAAAATTTAATATGCACAGCCCTGAATTATGCACGCACACAGTGGCACAAAATTCCCCCAGGAGTAAACATAAAGAAAACTAATTCAAATTTGTCAAAATACTGCTCTTCCTTACACCTGTGCAGTCCCATTGATTTCAGTGGTGTTGCACTGCATTTATTTTGCCATGTAGTAGTTTGTACATTTGAAGGTCAGCATGAAGGCAAGATGAACTTTCTTGAGCACATGATGCCAACTGAACCCTAATGTTAATCTTCTAGATGAACTGTACGTGGAAAAGCCAGATAGTGCATCAAGAGATCCGTTTGGGATTTCACACTTTTTGGATAAAATTAATTCTATTAGAATGGATAAGTACTTCAAAAGTTATACTAATATTGTGCCTACATAATCTGCCTACTGCAGGGCCCTTATACCATCATCTGAAGCATTTAGTGCTGGCCACTGTCCGAGACAGGATACTAGACTAGATAGACCTCAGGTCTTATTGAACATGGCAGTTCCCATGTTCCTGTACACAAGCTTGCAAGCTGTTCCACAAGGGCAACCCCTGTGTGGAGGCCCAGCTAACTTTAGAGGGGCTTGCAGGGATAGAAGGGCCCACTCATGAAGAACAATTTACAGGAGCAGAACCCACCCATGTCTATCCTGTGCTTTGCTGAAGGCTAAATATCACAGAGACAAATGCCAAGCTTGTGTACTCTGTTATGGTAAGAGCTGTATCCTACTAGAACGATATGGCTCTCTAAGCAATCTAGTCCACATTATGGCCTTGGTCCATTGACTTCAATGTGGGGGTTCAACAATGGTGGAATGATAAGAGGATATAGCATCAAGTGGCCACTCCATGATGTATCAGTGAATTCCATATTCCAACTCTTCCCTTCTCCCATTACACTCTGATGATACCACCACTTCATGTCTAAATCCGATATATTCATATGTGTACCTGTGATGTTGTCATAACTTCTGAAATTCATTTCAATGTGATCCCATTCCAGTACCATGCAGTTCTCCATGCTAGGCTGTGCAATGGCTACATACACATCGTTCTTAGAGTTGAATGTATCCACTGAAACTGAGTGGTATGGCAAAATCTGATGAACAACAAAATCTAGAAAGAGACATTTAAAAAAATTACAATAAATCCCATGTTTTAAACACAAAATAGTTGACACATGGTTCCTGTTTTCTAATCAGTACTATTGGAAACTATTTTAGGAACAAGAACTCTGAATTTAGGATTAAGCTTGTAACAGCCCTAACACAAGGAGTGTCACTGAGTAACAATTAGGCATGCAGCAATAGGGAGAATAGTTTGCTGCTCTGTGCAGTTTAAATTTCCCTTCCAAAATTCAATTCACAAGAAGATCAAGACATGTCATTGGTGTTAGCTGCAAAATCTGCATTCGATCTTGCGTGATATCTGTGAAATCAGACCACTGACTTGCCTAGAAAGAAAGCTAGAAATTGTACTAAATGTCTATGAGTAGAATGTAAAGTGTGAAATCATGGCACCACTGACGTCACAGGAATTTTGCCATTTATTTCAACAGAGTCAGGATTTCACCCAAAAAACCAAAACTCCACGTTCAACAGTAACTTTTGGTCACTTATTGCTACGCACCACATCTTAAAAAAATCTCGTTATTGCACATGTGTATCTGAAGTTGAAATTGAGCCCATAGTCTCCATTTGCAACCGTTTATTTATTCAACATAGACATTTCTGCACATTTCCAATTAAAGCAGACAAAGTGAATTCCTTGGGATAACCCCATCTCAGCTACCCCATCCCTGCAATGACAGAAATATATGGCAGGAAGAGGTCTCGAAAGGTCATCTAGTCCAGCCCCTTGTGCCGAGGCAGGACCAAGTATACCTAGGGGAACTTTTAATTAAAAAAAACTGAATAAAAGTATCATTTAAAGGGACACTGTCAAGTATTTTAGGTTTAAAATTTGACCTACCTTAATGTTATAATCTAGTGGAAAACCTAGGGTGCAGCTGAGGCTGAGGCTTCCAAAGGACCTAAGTGTGGAAAGTCCAACTTCCACATGCTTCCCTAAGTCTCTGTTGAAAATCCCAGCCTGTGTGTCAATTTTATTGTAAAATTCACTTGAGCCTAGAGCTCATTTTATATGTTGCCCAGCAGCAGACTCAGGTCTGAATCTCACACTTGTTCTGTTGCAACAGTAGCTTGGCAGGTCAGAGCAGGGGACTATTATGAGAGAAGGAGACTTAGGATGACACCAGTTGGTCAATAAAGAGCAGCATGAACAGAGTTCAGGTCTAGTTTGGGTGACACAAACCCTGTCTACAAGGAGGGGAAAATATATTTGTGGGAGAAGATGAGTCTTTCATTAAGATGAAGATTCATCTCAGACCCACAGACACCCTTACAGACTAGACTCCCTGGGCCATGCTGTGCATGCTAACTTTTCATATTCAGGAAGGGCCTGATGGCCCATGAATGTTAGCAACATTTTAATCATGTCCTCACTCTGACCCATTAAAAACTCTTGCCCAGTTCTGTGCACTTCAGTGGTGGTTAAAGTCATGTCCTTATTTCCCCTCCAAAGTAATTATTAATTGCTTCCAAAAGTTGGATTTTACATCTATGCATACTTGAAAGGCCCACCTTTGTGGAATCATGCTGCAGGAGGTAGGACTAGATAGCTACAATTAAACAAACAGAAAATCTACCACTCTACAGCTAAAAAAGAGAATAGCCACCAGTCTTCTGGTGACTACCAAAAGCAAAGCATAAGTTTTTGTGGCAAGTTCTCCTGCTTCACTGAAATAGCAGATCCTGTTTCCAAAACCGGGTGTATTTGTGCTGATAATATCAATGATGCTGGTGTGAAAGCAATTACATTTAGAAAGCAAGAGTGTTGTTATCGTCAATTCCTTTTGAAAAATTAAAGGACTGGAGAAAATTGGTAGGTAAAATATATGGAGAGTAAAAATAAATGAAAGCATAAAAATGTAGTTAAGGATGGAACAGTGACTCTAGCTGTTACTGATAAACATACACCTCTACCTCGATATAACGCTGTCCTCGGGAGCCAAAAAAATCTTACCACGTTATAGGTGAAACCCTGCGTTATATTGAACTTGCTTTGATCCACCAGAGTGTGCAGCCCTGCCCCCCCGGAGCACCGCTTTACCGCGTTATATCCAAATTCGTGTTATATCGGGTCGCGTTATATCGAGGTAGCGGTGTATATTAAAAGTGGGTGTGTCACAGCATGGCGCTGGCCCTTTAAGAAGGAAGAGGCCAGTGTACCTGTATCTCATCAGCTGCTTCCCAACTGGAGAGAAACCTCTGTGTGGACAACCTCATTCAGAATTAAAGAGACCATAATTTGGTTTCTTTTAAATTAATTACATTATGCTAAACTGAATAAAGTTTAATTCTGAATGAAAACGTCCACACAGGAGTTTAATATAGTTTAATTAGTCCACTTTAATTTAGCACCTTTAGTTAATTTGGATTAGTTTTCCAGATTATCCCCATGTAAACAGGCCCACTTTAAGGTCTCTTTATGTTGCCAGATGTGCACCCACTTTAAGGCCCTACTGTGCTCCCAGAGCAATGTAAAAGGGCCTTAGAGTCAAAGAGGCCTTATAAAAATAAGGTTTAACAAAACCCGGAAAGAGTTTTTAAAAATAAACAAACATTGCTTTGCCGTGTTTGCAACCAAGCCCCTTTAGCCCTGTGCCATTGTTGGAGAACGTGAAAGTATAATGGACTAGAAACAAAAGTGAAATAGATTAATCTATGTTTATTGTCCAAACTGTGAGACATGCAAAAACTAAACAGTGATAAAATGGTTAAAAGTAACATTAGATTGTTAAAATTCTTTCAGTTTTAATAACCGAGTGTGTTAAAAAGTGTTTTTCAGTTTTATAGCATCCCTTTGATTCGTTACTGTTCTTCAGTTCACCAGGTCTGGTATGTCAATGGAGCCACTGAGATGTAAATCTTACTAAACAAATTCCTATTGAAATCAAAGGTATTTTGAAAATTACCCGTATTATCCATGTAATACTTGATGTGGAACACTGAAGAATATAACACATTGAAAGGTCTAGTAAACTATGCATGATAAGGGAGGGAAAGATGATATTGAAGATTAATGTGAACAACTCTGTGAAAGTGACTTATACTGAGGGATAGGAACAAAAAGCAGAATAACCATCTGTCCTTCAGTGAGTAGGAGAAGAATACATTTAGCACTTACAGTATATACTGCTTTACAGCTTCAAATCACTGTACTAATTAATTAGTGAGTTAATGTTAATCTTCACAGACCAAATAAGGGGAAATTGAACAGAAGAGCTAAGATTGAACAAGCTATTCTGCAACTGCTCCCTGTGTGGACACTCTTATTCGGGCAGACAAATGCCTTTTCCTGATCTTGCTTAACACACTTTGGAAATGGATTAAGAAACTAGAAAAAGGCACTTTTATTCCAGAGAATAACAGGGAGCTATTCCATAATAGACGCTGCCTTTTTAAATTCCCACTCTGCCTTATTTTGGAATAACTTTCTACTCTAGACAAGCCCCAATTCCCACTTTACAGCTAGGGAAAGTAAGAGCAGACAGGCTGTGATTTGCCTGATGCCACCAACAGAGTCAAGGGCAGAGTAGGGATTAGAGCTCAGAAGTGGGTAGTTTTTAATTCCACACTTGGGCACTGTGTTGCGTCAGCGATGGTGCACTCCCTGAAGCATTTTTTCTCTATTCCAGAAACTGTTTCTTCATAAAGACTACAAGGAGTCTGGTGGCACCTTAAAGACTAACAGATTTATTTGGGCATAAACTTCTGTGGGTAAAAAAAAAAACCCACTTTATTCAGATACATGGAGTAAAAATTACAGATACAGACATAAATATATTGGCACATGAAGAGAAGGGAGTTACCTTACAAGTGGAGAACTAGTGTTGACAGGGCCAATTCAGTCAGGGTGGATATGGTGCACTTCCTTGAGCTGAGGAAGCGTTGTTCTAAGTCAGCCATAAAAATGTTGGCATACTGTGGGGCCATGCGGGTACCCATAACAGTGCCGCTGACTTGAAGCTATAAATTGTCCCCAAATCTGAAATGGTTGTGGGTGAGGACAAAGTCACAAAGCTCAGCCACCAGGTGTGCCGTGGCCTCATAAAGACTGTTCCCCTCCAAACATCTTTTAAGAAGGCCCTAAGTCACAGCTCCAACTTTTCTACAATTTGCTCTCATGCTGTTATTAAAAAAACTGGAAGGCATGTTGCTAACTACACCAGTGACACGCTCTTCTTTGTTCAGATCAGCTAGCAACTGACTGGCTGGGTTTGAAAATATCCTATACTACGCTGCCTCAACGCTTCTCTGACTGCAGTTGCACAAGTATGCAAGCAGTCAGTCATTACACCACGTAAAACCCTAGTTTCTTACATAATCCCTAGAGTATATGGGGTCAGATTTATCCAGAGTGTAACTTCATTTACATCAGGACAGTGAAGTAACAGCAGGATTGAATTTTGCCTATGACAACTGCACAGTTACACATATACTGTCATACATTTACAGAGAGAGTAGATCTAAATCAAATCCTTAGCTGCTGTAAATCGGGGCAGCTCTGAGGATCTGGCTGTCAAAGTTTACACAGCACTATGCCAGTGCTTGTGCAAGAGTAACCTTTTAATGAATGCAGATTGAGGTAAATTAAACTTTATGTTTTTGCATCATTGTGGATCAGCAGACACAGTAATGGAGATTTCTGGTACGGTTCCCAGCAATTTCTGTCTTCTGTTTTTGACATCAATTTGTCTACACAAGGAATTATCATCTTTCACTTCTGCTGCTTCTCCTGACATACATTGGGGCTTTAACTTAGAGTTTATTCTTTTTACTTTTTATATATGGTGCTTGGGTTATATTTCATACCTGGGCTTGGAAGTTTATCTTTACAATACTGGCAATCAACTTTTATGTTGTCTCTTACACAAGATTTTAAGAGCTCTATCTCATTCTTGACAGCTTGCTTTTGAAGAGATGAGAACTCAAATACCATTAATATGACTGCCATACCTTCAGGTGAGAGATATAAGGCAAGTAAGATAATATCTTTTATTGGACCAACTTCTTTCAGGTACAATTTGCTCTCCTCATATACAAGAACAACTGAACATTAGTGGCTAATATTCTTAATATAGTACGATTGTATTCAAACACAGATAACTGATTGTTATGTTTGGTTTGTAATCATCTTCTGACGATCAGAACTTCATGCAAGTTTGTCTCCACATCCTAGAGAATGCTTTTTACTATCTAATATAAAACAAATACCAGGTTCCTAAGCCATGCAGCACTAATATTATCCAATATTTCTCTCCATTATTATGGGTCTGCATAATTAATTGCTGGAAACACTGCTGCCACATACTTGTTACAGTGCTACTAAGCTGTGGCCTAGTGAACGAAGACAATAGATACAGCGGTATCATTTAGCATTCTGCGAAATGTAGATTGATTTCAGGAAGTTCTTCTGACATAGATATACGGCCTTATTTCAGACAACAGCAAAAGATCTGTGACTGAAAGTTGAGTCACAGAGTCATGATGAAACATTATGGAATTTGAAAATCTTAGCTCTTGTCCCTTTTATTACTTAATCCAAATTAAATCTCATCTACTTCCTTTGACTTTTAAATATCATCTTCTCAATAGTTAGGCTTGTTCTGTTATTCTGAAGTGCTGTATATAGAACCCTCTTCTCCCTCCCCCCAAATCATGCTGACATAGTAATATGGGGTTAATCTAAATTTCTAATCTTTAATAATTTGTAGTGTGCTTAGAAATATATATTCTGAATACCTGTAGTGGTGCATTCATAATCAAAACTTGTGACATCATTTAACTTCTTATCCTGGTATTCTGCTGGACCAATACACAGGACATCAGAAACAGTGGAATTTGTCATCTTTAACCACAAAAACAACCACTTGGCTTTGCAGTCACACTCAAATTTATTTCCCCTTAAATCTCTAAAAAAACACACAGAAATAAACATATTTGAAATGGTTGGTAGTGATATGAAAACTGCAGAATTGTTAGCACCTTGACATACTTAATTCAAAAATAGCTGAATTGTTTTAAATTGATTCTGACAGAAGATGGAAAATATTTTCCATCTATTATCCTAACTCTATTGTTCTTTGCATTTCACTGAAACATTGTTTATAACAAATACAGGCCCCAATCCTGGAAACACGCACATGTGTAACTTTATGCATGGAACAGATCTATTCAGGTGTTTCATGTTCATAAGCATTAGTAGAATTGGAACTATAATTCACTAAAAATCCTCACAAGAAGGCTCCCTCCCACTCCGCTGCTTTTCCATTGTCTCAGAGTTTCACTGAAATTCATCGATTCCTTTGCTTCACTATACCAGTCCAGTACACAGGCGGCTGACAGTAACAGCCTTATCAGTGACGTTTCTATGTTACATTGAAACAGAGCATACAGAGACTAATTTCACAAACATCTGAAATGTTCACAGTGTGTTTAAATTCTTAAAAGGGTCACCATCAATGTGAAGTTGAGTCAATTCCAGAAACTAAGGTATCTGTAGTTCCAGGTACAATTCCGGTCTCTGAGCCTCTTGACAATGTTTGTGGCTTTACAATCATATTTTCCTACTTTAAAAAAATATTTTGCTCTCCCTTGCTGCTGTGTGACAGACACTGGCAAACAATAGGGGAAACTGACTAGCCACAGGAAAAATATTGACACAGCCTGAGCAAAGTGCTGTCAAATACAAAATGAAAAAATAGGAGGGAAATATTTTTTTTAATCTAATCTCTTTCAGTAACAGTAATTTTAGGGGCTACTTGTAGCAACAGTAGATTAAAAAAATGTTAACACAAACTGTAATTTTAAAGTTGATGCTGTCCCCTTCAATTCAAGAATTTTCATGAAACATCAGAAAATAAGTAATAATGCTGGTCATGTGCACTATTGTGATAAACAACAAGTGAAGTCTAATTTAATCCTACTGAGCAAACAATATTAAAATGAGAATGCTAATACAACACAATAAGCATTTATTTTAGCATGGATTTCAGCTACACCAAAAAAATGGAACTTAAAGCACAGATTAATAGAGTCACAATGACAGGAAACTAATAAAAAGATTTTCATTACTTACAATTCAATCAGAGAATCTAAATCACTGAAGATGTCCCTTGGCAGAGCTTTAATGTTGTTATTAGCCAAAGAACTAGAAAAGAAAGTTAGATCTTATTATCTTGACTCCTATCAAGTCTAACGTCACTTAAATAATGCTAATGATTTGATGTTGTCTAAGTCCTAGTACTGACCATGACTAATGGGATCATGAATGAATTAAACAGTGCTTCCACCTTCCTTGTGAATCTTTGCTAATGTGTGAGAACAGAAAGTGAAGATGACTAGAAACAAAAGGGAAATTGGTCAATTGGTTTTTATTGCCCAAGAGGAATGAAATACACAAACGAGCAATAAAATGCTGAAAAGTAAATAGATACTGCATATTAAATTATAGTTAAAATTCCAAGATATTAGTAATAAGAACTGCTTGCACAAGTAAAGGTTGCATGTTCAGGTTGTGAGTATATGTAACTCAGGTGAAAACCCTGGAGTATCGTCAGAACAGTGAATATTTTTAAACTTACTGGAAGCCACGTTGTAAAAGTCTGAATTAGCCAATGTGCAGAGATTAAGATGGAAATGTCCTAGGCAGCACAAAAACTAGTTTTCTTTAAAGGAGCAAGAGCCTCCAACATTAATAGTAAAAACAATTACAGAAGTGCTTGAGGCCTGAGTTTTGGAACATCTGGCAATGTATAAACAACTTCTAAAAAGTGTTAAAGGACTTACAGGTGAGTCAGATCGCGAAGGCCACGGAATGCATTTCTTGAAATGGTTTCTATTTTGTTTCCTTCAATAAATCTATACAGAAAAATAATAAATATATATTTTAAATACCTTAATTAACAATATTAGTATGTATGTTTTAACCCATCACCTCCTAACTTAGTAAGATCTACATAGGCTCATATATAAGAAGTATCAGTAGAGCTACTTACATTCCCTTTTCCTTTCTCTTATGGCCAAAGCACAAGAGAAGACAAAGGTGACAGTCCGAACAAGAGAGAGAGAGAGAATGTAAGGGAAAAGAGAAGAAAGAAAAGCATGGACAGTGTGCATAACCCTATTCCCCACTTTCCAACCAGTTAATCATCCCTCGAGGAGTTCTACTGACAGACCTGAGAGGGGGAGTTGGCCTAGGTTCCACAGCACTTAGCAATGCCGTTTGATATGTGTGGTGGTGTGAAGATAGACTGTAAGCTCCTTTGGACAAAGTAAGTTAAGAACACAACAAAGAGAGCCGATAGCAGCAGAGAGACGCAATAGGAAAATGGTGGGACAAAGGTGAGGACAATAAAATGAACCTACCTACATTTCAGCATCTGGACTGAAATCTTTATGGTCTCCTTGGGGGCTACACCTTGTGGGTTCACCACCAGGACTGGCCAAGGAAATTGCAGAATGACTCCCTACATTTCAAGTTACTAAGGTGTTGGAGAAATAATTTTGTTTGGGGGTTAGAGAGCGAAGTCAACTGCTGTGAACAGTTATATTGTCTTTGGCTCTTCACTATCTGTCTAGGTTCATATGGTGGTGCCCAGCTCTGTAGTAACTGTTCATCTTCCTGAAGTGACAGGGACCCCTCTTCACATCAAGAGCACAGATAAGGACATTAGAAAGGAGTCAGTCTACTCCTTCAGAAGGTTGCCTTTAGTCATGAATTCAATGTGCACTCCCAAAGGCCATATTGTCCCCATACACCATATCCAAGGGAACTGGAGCTATTTTCTCATCCTTTCAGGAGACAGAAAGTTTTTTCTGCCTTACCAAGATCTGTTGCCTCCTCAGTTGGTGTAAACAGCCATACCTCCATTAAACTCAATGTTTCAAGATGGGGAAGTCTGGACTGGGACTCAGTGACTGCATGGCCCAGTAAATATAGATTCCTGCATCGCTGAATCTTCTCCTGAAGGGACTCTTCAGTGAGAATGCACCTATCAGTGTCACTCTCTAATGACTGACAGTATATTAGCCCAGTCCTTTTTCAGAGCTCCTAGGCTTATATATTCAGACACAATTAACATAACCCAGTAGTCTTGGCAATATTTATATATATGTTGCTCTTAATAGTGTAGACAGGATGTAGTTATTTTTGGCAACATTACCTGTTGTGCATACTCCCTGGCCTGCCCTCCTCCTTGATCCCTTATTTTGTACACAAAGAAACTTTCTCATTTGTCAGAGGGGTTTCTTTATTCCCTATGCTGGGTCTGGTTACTGATGCCTGGGAGAAACTGAATACTGGAGTATTAATGCTGCTTAGCATTCATGTGGAGGAAATATCGCTGCTTAGGTTCAATTTACAAAAGGTGGAGGTGAGGTCTCTTGGTAGGAGGAAACATTTTGAAGAATTGGCAGAGATGTTGATCATAGCCTCAGCTGAGAGCATCTGTCTGGCATTGGTTAAAGCAGGTTGCAGTCTTGGGGACTTGTTAGATTTGTCTCTGTTTCTTGATAGAATGCTATATTTGATCAAATGACTGAGGCTACATCTACACTACAGGGGGGAGTCGATTTAAGATACGCAAATTCAGCTACGTGAATAGCGTAGCTGAATTCGACGTATCACAGCTGACTTACCCCGTTGTGAGGACGGCGGCAAAATCGACTTCTGCGGCTTTTTGTCGGCAGCGCTTACTACCACCTCCCCTGGTGGAGTTAGAGCGCCGATTCGGGGATCGATTGTCGCGTCCCGACGGGACGCGATAAATCGATCCCCGAGAGGTCGATTTCTACCCGCCGATTCAGGCGGGTAGTATAGACCAGACCTAAGAGACTCCATACTTTTCTTTCAAATGTGGGCCTGCCCACTGCATCCATCACTACAAACATAGGCTATTCTAACATGCTGTATCTTGGGCTCCTCATGAGCACTACTTGGAAGCTGAAGCCAGCCCACAACAGACCCAGATTTGAAAGTTTGTTTGTTTGTTTTTTGCCTTCCACAAGCTTTTTACATTTTGATGCCTCCACCTGTAAAACTGATTACTGCTGTCACTTAAAAATCCAGGTGCTGTAGAATCATGGATTACAGCATATGCTGTTTGCCATATTCCACTATTTCCGGATCTGTTACTTCTATTGCTGGCTGCTCCTCCATACTATAATATTAGTTTTGAATGCAGCATGTTTAGCAGTAACTGCCTATAGACATATAAAGGCATTAGCAGAGGTTAGCGTTCATGACACTCCTCCAGGCAGCAATATAATGGTGAGAATCTATAAAAGGGGAAGTTTCTTTCAACACTGAAAAGTTATTGGAGGGAAGTATCTTGTACCCAGAATGTGTTCAGACTCTAAAAACCTAACTCCTGATTTGAGATACGAAAGCAGGTGAGTCTTTGAAAATCCCTTTGAATGTGAAGTGAGGATAACCAGATAATACAATTAGTATACTTAAAAAAAAAAAGAGAAAGAAAGGGTGGTAAGAAAGAGGAAATTAAGCAGAATGAAGGGAAGGAGTAAACTGAGCTAAGAAGAAAGGATGAAGTATAAATGAAATACTGGGGTGGCAAAGATATTGCAGAGAGAGAGTGGAAGGGGAGAATGAAGAAGAAGGGGATCATGGCTACAAAAGAGAGTGACTCTGATACTCTGCACTTCACCTGCTAGGACTTGTCAGCAAGCCATTATCTACTGATTGACATTTCAAACTCCTCTATTACATGTAACAGATGGAATTGGCCTGCATATCTAGCACCAGTTCTAGATCACCAGCCCCATTTCAGTGAATTGTGTCTATACAGAGTCACTCCAGCATGTATGGCATATTTTAAAAATACTCTGCAACATCTAAAAAATGGTAGGCAGCTGTATGAGACATTTGAACAGAAAATGGAACATAAATCCCTCCGTTTTCCTTGGCCCTGGTAATCACAGGGAAAACTGTTTCTCCAAGGCAGGAGTTTTGGCAACTCATCAAAACATCTTGGTTTACAAAAGACTGACAAATACATAAAATATAGAACTTACAGGTACTCTAGATGGAAGAGACCAGCAAAGGCATCATCTCGTATGATAGTAAATGAGTTAGAGTTCAGCAAGCTGAAAATGGAGAGCAGCCATTAGGAAAGCCGATGAAAACCTGACACAGAGGATTATGCCAGTCACGTTTATTGACTATCATCAGCCTAAACTTACTGACTCAGGCCCATATTATCCCATCAATACAGCATGTGGAAAATATTGTGGAGTGCTGCTTTAAAAAAATCAATGGCATAATCTGACCCCTAATTAATGTCTTCCATGCTTTAGAAAGTATACTCCATGACATGTACCATCCACCTTGGTTGAAAGGCACAGAGGGCTAGATTTTCTGGTGCACTAAGGCCACCTTGTGCCACATCAGTGGTACAAAGTGGCCTTAAAGTGGCCAGAGATAGTCAGCAGAGAACTCCCCCTATATTCTCTGCTGGACAGGAGCAACTCTAACTGGTGCCATGGCTGTGAGGCTGGGGATCAGGGAACTACAGCCAGCCACAGCTCTGCTCAATGTGGGGTGGAGAATCTGCCCTGTAATGCTTGGATATGCAAGTATCTGATCAAAAATATGCTCTTTCTTCATCCTGTTAGTCTATGAAAAGGAAACCCCACACAAAGGAAAGACTACTTCTAAAATCTCACGAGGGCTCCTGGAACTCCCAGCAGCTACAAGTGAACATGTCTGCATTTATCACTTCTTATAACCACTTAGTAATCCTCTTCTTGCATAGGTTTAGGCATTTTACTAAAATTAATTTGGAAAGCTAATGAATATGAAACGCAAACTTGCTCTGCAAGCCTAGGTCAGCATGCTAATTCTAGACAAATACTCTTTAAATTAACCCAAAGAAATCTGAGAAAGATTGAGATGGCAATTAAAATAAATTCCTATATTGCTATTTTACCAGGGTTACTAACACATAAGAACCAGTACCAAAGAGTGCAAAGAGCAATGGTTATTTCAGTTCACACCTTAAGCTACTGCCTTCATATCTTGAATCATTCACATTCCTGTGTTTGAAAGGCAAAATTATAAATTACATTAGTCGGCAAAATTTGACTGGGGGGGCAAGATAAGTGGTTGGTATGGCACTTAGACACCCCTCCCCAATTCTGATCTCCCCAATAACATGAACAAACTAACCATGCTGGGGCTCTTACTCCTACCCCACTGAACTATCTGATACCCCCACTTTGCAATATCCTCTGTTGGTAATCTCACCACTGTACCCCAACTTCTGAAAAAAATAAACAGGCAGCCCCTTCCACTTTGCCCTCCCCTCAGGATACAGGCCTCTACCTGCCATCTCCTTCAAATCACTGGCAGGCCAGGTCTTCACTCCCTTTGCCTTGGCCTTCCTCTCTTTGGACTCCTCACACTGCTTCTGAAGGTTGGGGGATGGATCTCGACACTGGGGCTGAGCTTGTGTAACAGCGACGGATCCCGGTTGTCGGCAGGCAGGATCAAACCTGGGCCCTCAATGCATGAGCCTCTACTGCATGAGCTGAAAGCCACATGGCCCTTAGCTAAGGCTCTAGAGTTAACTCATTTTATCTCTAAGTGGTCTCGGTGCCACTAGATGGGACAGAACACCACACCCAGGAGGTGTGTGGGTTACATACTTGCCGTAGCTGAGGATGCGCGTCCCGAGCTTCAGAGACTTCCCAATTGAAATCCCCGATGAGCCCCCACTTGTAATGCCGACAGACCCAGTCATCAACGGGAGGAATCAAACCTGGCAATGCTGGAGCTAAATGCATGAGCCTCTACTGCATGAGCTAAAAGCTACATGGCCCTTAGCTAAGGCTGTAGAGCAGACTCATTAATCTCTCCCTAAGTGGTCACAGATGGGATAGAACACCACACCCAGGAGGTGTGTGGGTTATACTTGCACTCCAGCTCTCTTGGGCAAATCTTCTGTAGCCCCAAAGAAGCCCAAGAAAGTGCCCTGTGAGTATGCTCTGATCTCAGCCCTGCTCTACACTTTCAATGAAGGGAAGAGCTCAGGTCTTAAGGGCTGGAGGCCTCCAGACTTTCCTTCCCCTGAGTGCACTCTATGGCCTTGTCTATAGTGAGAAAAAGCTTCGTGTTAGCAAACACGTTAACTAGCACCATGTTAAACACGTTTTTTCCCTTACCACACACACAAGTGTTTTCAAATGTGGCAGCTGGTTAGTTAATACATTTTTCTAACTAAAAACAAAGGCCAGGGGGCTGCTGTATTGAAGGTGCTAGGCTCTGTCAGCCCCTCCCTTTCCTAGCTGCACTCCCTGGTGCTGCACTGAAGGGGATGAAGGCCTCTTCTTGTCCTGTCTTCCCTTCACTACCCAGTGTTCTCTCCATTGTGCTGCTGGAAAGAAGGGGGGCAGGGCCGGCTCTAGAATTTTTGCCGCCCAAGGCAAAAACAATTTTGGCCGCCCCAACTCCGCCTCTTCCCCCAGGCTCTCAAG